ATGTATGTATCAAGTGACAACGAATATACTGGGCTTTTTGTTGTTAACTTAGTTTTTAAATTGTTATTGTGGTAAGATATAATTTAAGCTCTTGTAAATATCCAGTAGTATAGAAGAAATTCACACTAAGTAACTGTAACCACTGCCAATCTGCAAAACCTTTCATTATCCCAAACTGGAACACCAAGCACCTAAAAAGCCCCCTATCTTCTTCCAAACCACAGCCCCTGGGTAAAAATTGTTTTACTTTTGAACTTTGTGGATTTTACTGCTCTAAGTACTTAATATAAGTGGATTCATGCAAGTGTTGTTCTAAGTACTCATACAGTTTTTGCCTTTTTATTCGCTTTTGGTTTCCTGAGACAAGAGTGAAGTCTGTAGTTCAGGCTGCCCTGAAATTGCTTATGAAGCCTAGGTCTCAATCTTGTGACAATGCTGCTGCCTCAGTCTTCCCAGAGCTAAGATTGCAGACTTGAGTAACTACACAGAGCTATGTCCTTTTATGACAGGCTTGTTTTATTTAGCGTAATTCCTAAGTGTTCATTCATGGTGTATTCTCTCTCCAGATCTTTATGTTTAAAGCTAAATTATAATTCCATTTTATTTGTCACACTTTTTACAGCCCTTGTTCAACCCACCCACATTAGAATTGTTTTTACCTTTTATTTACCAGTATCACTCTTATTTTTTGTCATTCCCAGCATGAACCCAGACTTTCATATTTTCTTAATATTTTTTAGTCACTCTTTGTAAGATCAACTCCCTTGTTTGGGAAGCCAACCTTCTCACCATACATGTCAGCCAAGACATCTTCCTCAGCAATAATGTTTTGTTACACTGTCTCATACAACTGCTGTCAGGAATTGAATGCCCAAGAAGATATGGTGGATAGATATTCCACCACATGGATGTGTCTGCCTCCCCTACCATGGCTGCAAATCCTAGGAGGGCAGATACATACCATCCAATATTTATCATCATTGTCTCCACTCCCAGATCTCAAGCACAGCATATGATACACATTTAAGAAAAGACACATTGGTTCAAGTGTAGAATGAACAAGAATTCCCCTGTCTTACCTGGTCATGCCTTAGATCAGTAGGAAAGTTTTCTCCACTGGTAAAATATTTTGTGTTCCAAGTATAAGCTAGTCTGTAAACAAGAGGCATGGTATAGTTTCTTGACTTTCTATACACGTAGCCCTATTCATCACGCAAATACTTAAATCTTCCGTAGCTGTTCCGTCCTTGACTGCAAGCCTAGGGTTGATTTAGTTTTTTGCTCTTGGACTTATTTGTCTAAAAATATATCTGACAGGCTTTGCTTTGTTCTCACTGAAATTGCATGTCCCTGAAATTTACAAATCAAGTGATGTTCCAGTGGCCTCTTCTAAGGTGTGACCTTCATCTCTGCTCATCATGTACAAGAGGCGCCCCCTTTTGCCTTCTCATTTCTGTCTTCATCACAACCCTTGCTTGTTTTCACTGAAGCTGTTTATGCAGTTTACTGGGCTCAGCTGCTCAACGGTCATCTCTGAGACATCCCCCCCTTCATGCGTCTTTGCTTTCCTCAAATATCCCTCTGCTTCACAGGTTTCTAGTCATTGAATCAACGTCACAGAAAGTTTGAAGTCTTTACCTAAAGGTTTTCCAGCTGCGACTGTTATTTAATGCATTGGCATCAAACACTTCAAAATGAAGAGTTAAAATCCAAAATTTATCTTACAGCCTCATTGTTAAGAGTAATTAGCATGGAAAATGGTGTTAAGATTCCATTTTGAAGGCATCGCCTTCTTTCAATGTGCACCTTCCCCTCAAGGGGAAGCCAGATGAAAATTTAGAGTAATGCACTGGTAGAATAAAACTTCTTTCTAAGGGAGGGACCCATGGGAAGAGATGAAGGGAGTATGGGAGTCTGATTTGATGGGAGGCAATAGGGCAAGAAAATCTGAGGTGTTGGCAGCTCCCGGCAGTGCAGTAATATTCCCACACCCTGAACTTCAATGCAGAAAGCAACAGGGGATCATGCTCGAGGAGAAGGATCAAAGCTGGGCATTTTCCTCTCTCTCATTAATGCCTCATTCCATCCCATGTGAATCTGCTATCTCCCTACAGAAACACACCTTTCTAGAATAATCACAATTTTAGTATATGTAATTGAATATTCCTTTTAAGAGGGATAGTCTTTGGAGATGTAGAAGCTGATTGATATTAACAGTAATTAGTTTCATGCTCTCACAGGGTCTATTTCTAGCACTGTAATTTCAACATTGTAGTTTGTTCTTCAATATTCGTTCTATCCCAACTCTATTGAGTAGCAGTAGTAAATGCTTGGGAAACAGAGTGCAGTTGAATCTCACTTGGCTTAAGTTCACTGTGGTCACTTCAAGGGTTTCAGTCGAATAATGAACATGTTACTCTCTTTCAGCTGATGGGAAAGGACTAAAACTTAAAGGATGATTTGAGGAAAGAGCTATGCCTACATTCTCTCTTCTTCAAGTTTATTACCTGAAGCATGTAGCTCAAGGGTCTCTCTGTAGAGGATAAAGCTGATAGCAGCATGGAGAGGAGTGGGGGGGGGGAGGAATCAAGGTCCTTTAGGGGACTCTTGAGCCACAAACTGGACTGTCCTGGGACTTGTACTTTGAAAGAACTTTCCATTATAAAAGCTTATGAGTTTCTTTTCTATTTAATCTATTTGGATATGCTCATCTCTAATTTAAAATCATGTGCATTCCAAATGATCCTTGACCTTTGTGACCTTCTGCAGACACCTGAGTGACCTTTTGTGACCATAACCCTTTTGAGCCTCATTTCCCTTATCTGAAAAATGAATATAATTATGTCTGGCAGAGTTTTTCATGAATATCATTTGATGTTCAGAAAGAAGCCTGAGGGAGGGCGCATAGACTGATACTTCCTGAGTGCTTAACATTGGGATGTGACTGTTCACTGCTTTTAGGAAAGAGAAATCCACTAATAATTTCTATATAAAATGGTAGGAAATCGCATGCCTATGATATTCCTTTCAAGCAGATGGTGTAGATTATTGGATATTTATTTTGCATGGTACCTGGTGTGCCAGGGGAAGGTCATAGGTGTAGAGATGAAAGGGGGATTAGAAAAAGGGACATAAAGAAATCATATTAAAGGCAAAGCTTATAGGCTGAGTAGCAGTTAGGAGAATAATGGAGAACATTTTAGGCAGAGAAACAGGTACAGATGTTTGAGTGGGAAAAGGTCTTGGTGAAGAGAAAAAGGAAATAAGTAAAAAAAGCATGGTGACCAAGGATATTGGATGTGGAAAGACAAGCTGGAAAGATCAAAGAAGACAGATAACAATGGGATTTGTGGGACAAGAAGAAGGATTCTGAAGTATCTCGGTGTGAAATGAAGCCACTAGAACACTTTAAGTAAGGGCATTTTATGACATGATATACACACATTTATGTTTACGGGCCTTAAGGGACAAGAAGAAGCAGACGAATTTGGTTGAAGTCTGAGGGTGTGATTCCTGTCGTTGTCTACAATGGGGACTGTTGAGATGGAACAAGGATGCATTTGAGCAGTTGTTTGACTTCTAGTTAATGGCTTTGTTGATAGATGGGAGAGACTGTGGTGAATCTTGGGGAGTGTGAAGTCACACATGACTCCTCAGCTATGGGGAAATCCAACAGACAGGTTTTGTCATAGGAAAACTGAAGTTCAGTTTTGAACGTCTGCAGATTCTGTGTTTCCTGTATCAAAAGCCATGGGAATCAATAGTACCTGTTAGTAAAAAGGGGAGGATGGCAGGAAAATGCCTTACCTCACTTCTATTGGGAAGTATTCTCTCAATGTGGCCTTCCCTATAAAATAGTCTTCAAAAGTCAGTGAGAGGAGTGGGAACCACAGCCTGGCTAGAGAGGCTGGGAACAGGTGCAGGAGTACAGACTTGAAAAGGTGACCAAAGAGGAAGAGTAACAAGGGGGAGGTTAAAGACGATGGAATATGGGAGATCATTAGTGAGTTAATGTCCTAACGGAGATAAAAGGGAGGTTTTAGTGTTTGACTTCGAGCCAGCTGAGATCAAAGATCTAATGAATTTAAATATTATGGGTTTGCAACAGAGAAATCTGAGATACTTTATTATGACCCGTCCTAAAACACATGCACATATATGTGTGCATACATGCAGCTATGCAGAAGCGCGTGCAGTGGTGGTTTATGGGAGTTTGTCTAAAGGAATATATGATTCTCATAACATTCATTGCTATTTCTTAGATAACATGGGTACATAGGAGGAGCTTATACATATTTTCCAAATAGATATACCAAAAGCTGAGCCCCAGGTTTTATTGGTAGAGTTTGTCATTTCAGAGACTAACATGAGAAGTTATAGCTATTGGGCTTGAGTGCCTTGTTCCCCACGCCTTCATCTTTTCTTCTCTTTCCCGCAGCAGTGATGACTTTTAAAAGTCATGAGTTCACTTGTCTGTACAGTTCTTGGAATGTTCCACCTGTGTTATTTAATCCATATGGAAGATCCTGCCATATAATGACAGTTTATGCACACGCCCAATAAATATAAGTTGAATGAATATAAGAGGGTCGACTGAGTAGATGGATGTTTTGTGAATAGATGACTTCAGTAGGGTGCTGGCAGTAAGAAAGGTCTGGGTGAAGGCAGAGCAATAAACCAGACTGCAGGGTTGAAATAGCTCAATGCGAGGCAGTAAAGCCGTTGCCTGGTCTGGTGCTCCATCTGTAATGTGAAGATTAGTAAGGTGCTCAAAGTAAAAGTCTTTGGAATCCAGGGGTTTGGATTTACACTTCCAAGCTCAAGATTTCCTACAATGCTGTGTTCTTTCTTCACCCATATTATTTCCTACAGCCATTAAACCACCTCTCAACTCCCAGACACCTTGTTTCTTCCCACTTAGGCCTGACGAAATATTTTCTGTCACAGACACTTTCTTTGTATGATGCGTTTTCTGAGATCTATTTGTTCGTCTCTCCTAGCTCTCCACTGTGGTCTGAATCCTCGGGGTATTGATCACCCGACCCATGCTGAAGGAATTAAGCTGCAAATAGAAGGAGAAGGGGTAGGATCTCAATCCATTAAAAACAAAAATTTCCAGAAGGTGCCTGACCAAAAAGGAACCCCCAAGAGTCTGCAGGGAGAAGCTGAGACAGTAAAGGTGAGTCCTTCGCCAACTAAGCACTGAATGTCTAAAACTGTGGCGTCCCAAAGCCCTGGTCCAGCCACAGAGAAGAGCTGATGATGCTTCTGCCAATGGCTGATGTATCTTTGCTAATAGTAGTGCTGTCTTGCTGATAAATGACAGTGTTGACTGCGTTCCCTTTGGCTGAAATTAAAACACATGTACAGCTGTCCCGTAGTATGAGCCTGTGGGCCATGGGTCATAGAAAAGACCTTTTTTCTTTTTGCATAATTTATACAACCTTTACATACATTTAATGGTCTCCTTCTATAAAAGAATCCTAAAATCTGTTTCCCCGATTAGGATGAGATGAGCTGAGTAACTGAGTTTGTGTCCTTAGGTTTTGCTGACAAAGGCTGCTAATGAAATTAACTGAGTTTTGTAAAGTATGTGCATATATGGTGAATTGAAAGGGACTCTTCGTGTAGGGACTTATTCTGTTTTTAATCATTTTATGAAGCATAGTATAGTAAACATTAATTAATGAAAGATACAGCTGGTCTATTTTGTCTTTTTAGTCTTTGGCCTAAAGGTAGGTGCCATACAACTGACAAAGTCTGTGTTAAAAGTGTATACCAGCCGGGCACTCGGGAGGCATAGGCAGGCGGATCTCTGTGAGTTCGAGGCCAGGCTGGACCAACAGCCTCCAAAACAATACAGAGAAACCCTGTCTCGTAAAAACCAAAAAAAAAAAAGTGTATACCAAAGAGTGGGTGGGATTCTGAGGGTCAAGGAGTTTTGGGGTGAGAACAGTCTCTTATAAAGGCTTTTTCTTTCTTAGAAGTCATCGTTTGCAAATATGGAGACCCACAACCAGACATAAAACACAGAGAGAGAGAGAGAGGAGGAGATGGGGGAGGGAGAGAGGAGAGAGACCTTGGTGCACTCAGCCATAAATGAGATGTTTCCATCAAGTCTCTTCCCTCAGACCTCAGGGAACCCAACAGAAGAGGAGGCAGACAGAGTGTGAGAGTCAGAGGGGATGGAGGACACCAAGAAGACAAGGTCCTCTAAATCAAAATAAGCAAAGTTCATATGGACTCACAGAGACTCAGGCAACATGCACAGTGTCTGCACCAAGTCCTCTGTGTGTATTATGGCTTCCAGCATAACGTTTTTATAGGATTCCTGAGTGCGTGAATGAGGTTCTCACACCTTCTCTTGGACTCTTTTCCTTCTGATGGTTTGTCTTGTCCTACTTTGATGTGATTGTTTTATCTTACCGTACTTTGTTTTGTTAGATTTTATTATTATCTCTTAGAAGCCTGCTCTTTTCTAATGAGAGTCAGAAAGGGAGCGGCTCTGGATGGGAAGGGAGGTGGGGAGGAGCTGGGAGGAATAGAGGGAGTGGGAAACTGTAATCAGGATATATTACATGAGAAATCTATTTTCAGTAAAAAAGGGGAAAGCCACTGTATGGATTTTTGTGTGAACTGGGTGAGGATATCCATGCCAAGTGTTGAAGATGTTCATTTTAATTCTCTTATTGGAAATTGGGGGAATTAATCTTGCTAGACATTTGGATCATCTCTTTGTGGACTCTATAAGAGAATTTCCATTTGTGTTTGTTGAGTGAGACAGCATGGGCAAACCTTAGAAAACAGAGGTAATAACCCAAGGACAATCAGAAGTAGGAAGGTCATCTGGCTGTTGTACCATGATCCTCTTACCTCTCCCCCAAATCAGATGTGTGTGTGTGTGTGTGTGTATGTGCGCGCGCGTGCGCATGCGTTAAAATGTGATTTTGTTTGTGATTTACCTGCAGTTGTGAATAATGACCATCATTGCTTCCTCTCTTCGGCTGGATAATTAAAAACTGATAACATTACTCATGTATCTCTGAGTGGGATGTAAGAAGTGGTGAATGACCAGTGAGAAAACTATTGGAAACTCTTTGCACTGAATATTTTTATGGAGAGAAATAGCCCCTTAAAGGAAATTGCTGGATGCTCTAAGTTTTGCTTGTGAGCAGGGTTGGCAATAAGTGAGGTTAACTATGACATCCAAACTTAATCAATCTCTGGTGCTACATAGGTATCCACAATATCCAGGAGAAAAATGCTCTCAGGGCCTTACTTTACTCTGAAGATAAACAGAACTTGTCTGCGTTAAAGGATGCCTAAAATATTAAAAATCCAACTGGGAAAAAGAGAAAACTAATTCTTGCTCTTTTGTTTTATTTTAATTCTAATGTAATTGACTATTTCCAGATTTTACCTCTGTTCTTTAAAAATAGTAGCAGAAAATCGATTCAGATCTTACATGGCTTGATTACTTCTGAATTAACGGTGAACGTGTGATGTTCTGCTTCTGCAGAAAATTGTTACAATTCCAGAAATTGGCCCTCTTGCTTGGTAGAGCCCTTTGTAAGTTGCCTTGCTGAGAACAGGCTTCTCTTAAAACTGAGGATCCAGTATGCATCTTTGCAAAACAAAAGACCACAGTTAGAAACTATGTTCATTAAAGTTTGCCCACATCATCTACAATAAAAGCCCAAAACAAGGAAAGTCTAGGGTTTTTAGATGGACGTTTTAGCATAAACAGAGTAGAAATTTCAAAGAAGCACGAACAGAATTTCACAGTTCAATTTTAAATTCACAAGAATGTATCCATCTCCTCATTGAGGGCTAGCAGGTGAAGATGGTTGCTGGAGAGATGGAGTGACAGTAGCCTCAGATGATAACTGCAGAAGCAGTGGTATCAAAACCTGGAGTCTGCCCCTCAAGAACTTCAGACTGGTTTAGTGCACACACAGACACTTTCTTCTCTTCTGTTGTTTGGAGAGGGCCAGCAGAACTGTGAGCCATCTTCTCTTCTCTTCTTCACCTTCTCTTAACTTAACCAATGAACCTCTGGCCCAAAATACTTGCATGTAAAGCCACTCAGCGGTGTAAATGGGCACGGCTTTCCTGGAGGATAGCTTAATGGTAGTTCCTAACGTTTTCAGTGGGTGTGATTTTCAGACCAATGAGCTTCTTTCTAGGAATTTATCCCAAGGGAACAATAAGATATACAAAGGTGGATGCAGAATACTGATCAGCCCAACACTGTTTATTACATGAAAACATTGAAAATACATGGATTCATAGCACACTAAAGAAGAAATATGTGTTGATGTAGTGAAAGAGGGTATATCCTACTAAGGGTTCAGAGATGCTTATGTATTTATGTAGAAAGATACAGGTGATAATATTTTAAATTGGGGAAGACATTTTATTTTGTTTTTTATTTATTTAATATTATTTTCATTATATTTATTTAAAGGCTCTCCCGGATTTTTGTATTCATAGTTTCATTGTGATTTTTTTTCCTATTTATTATTAGTAGTCTTCCTTTTAGGCTGCTGAATTTCCTTGTGTGGCTTCTATACCTGCTGCTAAGTTGCTTGTCAAAGGAATGAAGCTTCTAATGCCTGCTGATGACTTTTTATTTGTTGAAAAAGTGAGTTTTCCATCTTGTGGCTTGAGTTTTAGACAGCAATAATGAGGTATTCACTTTAGATCTCTGTCTAACTGGGCTATCCAAACTCTGACTAGCTGTTCCTTTACCATTACAATTGGCCATTCTGGTGATTGATTTTTGACCTGTTTGGCAAGTTCTTCCATGTATATTCCCTAGACTCCACCCAGGGAACCCTGTTGTAGCTCTCTGTTGTATCTCTGGGCTCTGTCACAATGAATTGAGCCTGTTAGAGGTGACACCAGTCCTTCGGTCACCATCACCTGCTTCATATCCCCAAATTCATGTTGTGAGCTTTGTGACTCTAGCTGACCAAAATCCATCATCTTCAGTTTCAATTTTTTCTTTAATATAAGCTTTAGACATTAATTACTGTCTTAAGATTTATTTTTTTTAATCTGTGTGTGTGTGTGTATCTTTGTAGCGGTATGTGTATGTAAATGAAGATGTCACAGGAAGGCAGACAAAAAGCACCAAGTCCCCAGATTTTGGAGTTGTAGCCAGTCTACATGGGCACTAGGAACTGAATCTGCAAGAGTTCTCAACCACTGAACTCTCTCTAGCCCCATTGTTAAATGCTTTTAAGCAATGCTGGAGCCTGTGTAAGTGTTGCAACATGAGTTTAATTGAATTATATTTGTATCTCTTTCATAATTAAAAGATATATAGATATAGATCCCCCCTTCAGGGTTCAGGGAACCCCATAGAAGAGGAGGCAGAAAGAGTGTAAGAGCCAGAGGGGATGGAGGACACCAAGAAAACAAGGCCCCCTAAGTCAACACGAGCAGAGCTCATAGGAACTCACCGATACCCAGGCAGCATACATGGGGCTAACACAAAACTGTGTCAGTCCCTCAGCATATGTATTATGGTTTCTAAGTCAGTGTCTTTATAGGGTCCCTGAGTGTGTCTCTGACTCTTGCCTTATCTTGACCTATTTTCCTTCTGATTGTTTGTCTTGTCCAACTATTGTACCATGAGTTCTAATAGGTCTTAATATTAAAAGCCCAGAGTCAGATATAGGGGAAAATGCTGAGAGATTAAAGAGAAGAAGCAGCAAAACCACAGCCTCCTTACCTACTCAACTTCCCAGCCCAAAAGAGACTGAGCTCCTGTCTCCTCCTGCCTTAACACTTCCTCTTTCCACCCAGCCATATCACTTCCTGTATGTCTGTACAGACCTCCAGAAATCTATGGTTAGCTAGTGGTTAGCTCCGCCCTCTGATCTTCAGGCAGGCTTTATTTGTTATGCAAACAAGATATCACCACAATTTCTGATATATAGTAGTCTTTCTTTTCATTTCTTATATTTTGTTTTGGTATATTTTATTATTATCCCTTAGAAGCCTGCTTGTTTTCCAATGAGAGGCAGAAAGGGAGTGGATGCAGATGGGAGGGGCGATGGAGAGAACTTAGAGGAGCAGAGGGAGTATAGACCATAATCACCATATATTATGTGAGGAAAAATATTTTGAATAAGAGGAAAATATTTGTGCTGTGTGTGTGTGTGTGTGTGT